GTAAATGGGGATAATGCTTAACCATTCTCACAAGGGTGCTGTGAGTCTTAATTCATTAGTATTAGGTAAGTGCTTTGAGATTTTTGGATGAAGATGCTAAAGAAGGGCAAAGTATTATTGGAAGAGCTTACTGCAAGTCCTATAGTGTACTTTTACTATATCCAGCCCACGTACTCCACTGTGTGTAAAAGGACAACACTCTCTTTATAGAGCATTATATCATCCTGATCTGTAATAACAGCATTTTGCATTCTGAGTTTATGCCTGAGGACAGAAGGGTGAATACTGATTATACTGATGGTGCGCCAGGCCAAGTTCTATACTGAATTACCCCCATGCATTCCCCTATACCCCCCTGAAGTCAGGCAGAATTTGGTGTGGACACATGGAAAGCAGATGTAATTTCATGAAATTGCCCTACCTCATCCTGTTGCAGTTTCTCTATCAGAACTGTCACAACGCTAGCCAGCTTGGTCTCAGTTATACAGGCAATCCTGAGGGCAATTTTGCCCTTATCTTGGTCATCCATGTTTGCCAGGAGGGAAACAACCTCATTATAAACACCTGAAATTAAATAAAAGGATTCGGCTGGTTACCACTGATAGTAGAAATTGATGCTGGCCTCTTTAATTCATTATCCAGTAAAGATTCTGCAGGAGCCCAAACACTGTGAGAAGTAGACCTGGGAATCATGTAAATCCTCTTCCTTGCTCCTGATGACCAGGTTTGTTTGCTGAACTACCCAATGTGTTTGGGCGGAAATCATAATGAAGAAAATTTGCTCCTTTCAAGTAGATTCCCACGTAAATTAATCTTCCTTTCCCTCTTTACTATCAATTCAAGAGTTTTGATCACATACAGAATAATAATTTATGGTCAAAATTTTCAAAACTGGGTGCCTAAACTTAAGCTCCTAAATCCATATTAAGGCACCTATGCCCTGAGTCAGCATCCTAATCACATGCTTAACTCTAAGCCAACAAAGAGACCTAAAGTTAAGCACATGCTTAAGAGTTTTGCTTAGTCAGGGCCTCATTTTCAAAAATCCTGAGCACCCAGATGTACCTATTGGCTATGCTGGGAACTTTTGGGGGCTCAGTATCTCTTGAAAATCAGGCCACTTTTTTAGACCTCAGTATGAATTTAGAAGCCTAACTTTAGGCCCCCTGTTTTGAAGAAAGCCTTTAATCTTATTGTATGGTCGTTTAAATACTTGCAGAGAAGACTCATGGAACAGAGTTCATCCGGTTGCCTGTAGAGGTCATAAAGGACTTTTTCCCTCATGCACAATTGACTAGGTGTACGCTGTGAGTGGGGTCAAGTGGTTCCCTCCAACCTTCATCTGAAACATCAGGAACTGACCATAGCAGGAGAAGGGACACCTGGTAAGGTGGACCAGTGCTCCAAGATGGTTCAGAGAATCTGTTTCCTTAGATGTCCTGCTCACATGCTCAGGGTCCAACTGATCTCCAGAGTTGTGGGTGGGAAGGAATTTTCCCCTGCTCAGATTGGCAGGGACCTTTGGGTGGGAGGATGGGACACTGATCACCTGCTAGGATCATCTGGGTATATCTGACCTAATCAATTCTCTACCGTTGCAAGGGTCTCAGGCATTGGTGGAACCGCAGTCTCTCCTGTCCTCTGCCTATGGCACACAAGAGTTTAGTCTCCTAAAGACTGAAATGTTTTAGTCCAAGACAAGTTTTTGGTTCAGTGTAGGGTTGCTAGGTGACATTTTAATGGCCTGTGAAATACAGGAAGTCAGACTAGATGATTTAATGGTCCCTTCTGGCCTTAAACTCTACGAAACTATGAAATAGCTGATATATTAAAAAAATCCAGATTTTATCTCCCATGTATCTCTTAGCTGTGGGCAGAAATTCTCCAGGTGACTTAATATTTAACAAGAACTCTGAAATGCCATATTTATCTGTCTCCATTGTAACAGCATTCCAAAGCATGAAGGAGGAACTAACAAGATTTCCCCTTCCCAGGAAAGACTGCTTGAGGTTAGGTGATTACCCATCCTTTATGCAAATTGCATCCTTCAGTTCTAACACCCAGATGCAAACTGAATCATAACTGTAACCTACACTGCCCATCTAGCTGCAGTAGTGATAGTGTGGGATTAGGAGCATTAGTGTTGCTAAGAAATGTGATCCCATGCTTTCTTATCCTGCATTTAAGATATTAGCAGAGCATCATTTAGACAGCTAGAGGAGAAGTCCTTCTGCATTTTTTTGTTCTAATTTCCCCCATCTCTGGTGGATTCCACAGCTAGATGTTGGCTCCATGGATGCAGAAGACACAAAATGAGGACCCATAATAAACATAAAACAACTGGGAGAAA